GCCTCAGGTGCCTGCAGGGAGCCACAGGAAATCTCAGAGTTGCCTTAGCCCATCTGAGATCTGCAAACACCTCTTTCTTCCACTGGCAATAAGGTCTTTCCAGCATGGCTGGGCAATGATGCAGTGGCTGGAGGAGAAACAGAAAGGACTGGTGACCCAAGAGAAGAGCAACCTCATGGAAATTATTATTAAAATGAGCCCAACCAGTCAGAAAGTGAAAGAAAAGATCTTTGCTCCTTCCAATATGATTCAGTTACAAGGAAAGGCATTAAGTGCATACTTAAGTTGGAAAAAAATATGGTTTGGAAAAAGCATAGTTGAACACATAGTTTCTCTTAGAATGACACAGAAATGACACTTCACATTTCACAGGAATTTTCTAACATCTAAAATGCTTCATTCCAATGCCTGGGTTTGGCATGCTGTAGCTGTAGTAATAAGATGCCTTTGAAACTGGAGTTAGCATCCAAACCATTCGGAGTATACATAGAAAATTCATGGTTTGGGTTTTCTTAGATTCACTATCTTGGGTATGCTTAAGCTACAGTTTCACAACAGAAATGGAAATACAGACGAGACAATTCATACTGATGAACACCATGGATGACACAGGATAACCAAGAGACAAAAATAAAAGTTATTGGAATGTCTCCCTCCTTTTTTTTTTCTTTTTTTTTCTTTTCTTCTTTTAGAAAGCTGGTTGAAATTGCTGTTCCTTATTTGTTGAACAGTAAACTAAAAGGAAAAGTCAGTAATTAAATGTTAAATGTGTCATTGTTCACTGAGTTGGGTGATTCCTTTCCTTTTTCACACCAGTTCCAGTTGAATACTCCTTCAGATGTTTTCTGTATGTGTGATACACAGCAAAAGCAAGTTTGGTCTGAGTGCCTTTAGTTTAATGACACCTCAAGGGTCATGCTTGAGATGTCCCATGCTTCCCTTCTCTGCTTACTATATAATCGGTGACAAAAGGTGTAGACTGCATCTTTGCAAGAGCTCTTCTCACATTCACTATTCTGGTGAAATTGGACCCCATGGTTCTCAAGGCCATCTCTGCTGAGCAGGAAAGTCTTCCCTTCTTCATTTTTAGGACCAGAGAACATGCCCCAGGTCCTGGTTCCCACAGACTCCTTAGCATACTGCCACGTAACATCCCTCCTGGGTGTGACCTGTTGTCGCGCATTTCTGTAGCAGCAGCAGGACAGCTGTCCAGATCTTTTATTCATGGTATAACAGTCTGAAGCAACTGAGGTTGTCTGCTTGGTGGCTCAGAGTTCCTATTATCCTCACAGGGGTGAGCTGCTGTCACTTGTGTTCAACAGACTTTCATCAAGCACTCTGTTTGATGTGCTGCAGCTAGCATAGACACAGCCTTCCCCATTGTCCTTCCCCCTTTAAAAGGAGGTAAGCCCTCTTTTTGGAGAGTGTTCCTTTAGACCCTGTGAAGCACACACCACCTCACCATTTAACCAGGTTGAATGCAAGTTGTTATTGGACCTCCTCAGAGGGCAGTGTGTGTCTATGTGAATACTCTGGGTGAGAGTCCTCCAAACTTGTCTCCTATTGCTTTATAAAGCAGATATTTCTGTTCTGTCTCCTCTCTCCTATTTGATGTACAAATATAGCTATTGTTGGGAAGGCTGAAACAATGTTAGCAAAGACATGTCCTTCCACACTTAATCACTATTCAATAATATAATCTTGAACACAGTCCTCTGCTGAGAAGTATATTCTGGGGGATGTGTAGTTCAAAGTTTCTGCTCTTACAATGAATTGAATTTATCTTTCAATGTCTCATACTCAAATCTGCCAGGCAGGACAGTTCAGGTGCTTCTGAAAGCTACTACTGCTGTGTCCTATGTCAACATGTGAGGCTGTGCCATTATCTCCCTAACTTTTCAAGGAGGGAGCTGCCTCTTGGGATTAATGCAGTGACCATGACCTGCCTCACAAGGACTCTGAGCAGTCAAACAAACCAGCCTCAGTTCCTTCAAACTGCTAGACTATGACTAGAAGATTTAGACAGCTGTCCTAATAGCAGTGTTTCAACAGTGGTACTCTTTGTGTCAGTCTAACGAGAAATGTCAGACTTTATGTCCTAATGTCCCAGATACCTGGGTCTGTCTCTGGAAAGTTCCAGATTTTTCTGACTGGAGACTCTTTTCTCTTTTTTTTTTTTTTTTTTTTCATTTATTTTTTGTTTTGTTTTGTTTTCTTTGTCTTTTTTGGAGGCCCAAACTCTGTCTTCTTGAGGAACAAAAAGAAGTGTTGCTGTGCTCCTTACAGAAAAATCTCACACTGAGTGTCAGACTGTATGAAAGAATGCTTTTGGGCTGTAAAAGGAAACTACATTTCTTTTAAGGCTTTCCCTCAGAATGACCTCCCTTTGGGATCCCCAAATTCCCATTTGAAAAGCAGCCTGTCAAGCTCCATTCACTCTTGCTAAGCCTTACAGATTTACTAAAGTATTTGGGAGCAATTCTATGTCCAGAAGAGCTGTTTATGAGAGGATCTTCTCTGAATTTTTTTCACAGGTACTTTACATGAACAATAAATAAAAGAAGAAGGGATGCTTTTTTTTTTTTTTTTTTTTGCAGTTTTTCTTCAAAGAATATGTATTTTAGGCAATATATCTCCAGTACTTCCTCCTATCTCCTTCCTTCCCTCCATAGTCTGATTTTATATATATATCCTATGATATATACTATGATATATATATCATAATATATACCATTATATATGTATCTTCTTATGATATATATATCTTCTAGTCTGAAATGTCTGGCTGTTCCACCCCTATTTTTACAATATGTGCCTTCTTTACCATAAAAAGAAAGAAGGTAGGTGTGTCTTTAAACATATCACCAAAGTGGAGAGAAAAAAAAATAAAAAAAGAAAAAAAAAAATAAATTCTGGCACAATAATATCCACAGTATGAATGCACATGAAGACAATGAATTTAGAAGAAAAGCCCAAAAAGTCTTTCTATTACACTGTTCCATTCCCACTGATCCCACTTCAATTGAAGCCAAGAGGTACTCTACCATTAGAGTTGTGCTAGTCTTGCAATGCTTATTTTGGACATTGATCCCATTGATACTGCATTTAGAAGTAGGCGTGTTGGGAGGTTAGACTTATGCATGAAGTTAACCACCTGTGTGAATGCTTGCAGGTAGGCTATGAGATTCTGATTCTACAAATCTTTGTGCCTGAACTCAACTCGTACTGTTGTGTGTAGAGTATTTAGATAAAGCTCATCTTCCATGGGGGGAAGATAAGCCAAGTTACTTTCTCATACTTTGATCCCACTTATTTGTGCATGGTTACATATTTAATTTCAAAAGAAATTATAATCTATTAAACATGAAAAGCATGAAATAGTGATTTTACTGTTCCTGAAAGAGTATCTCAGTCTAATGATGATTCTAATAAATGGCTTATTTAATTTTAATAATTTTTATGTCAACTAAATATTGAACAATGAAATTGAAATTACAAACATGGGTAGGCAATATTATCATGCTCAAGAAAATGTGCCTTCTCGGTTATGTAAAAGGATACATTTCTGAGTTTTTTCGGATAAAGCAATGAACTGGTAATGACGACTGTCAACTGAAGTAAACTATTTTATCTATAGATAGCATTTTATGATTTTGTTTAAACAAAATGTCTCAAAAGGAGCATAGTACCTTACTTGTGATTTTTTTTTTTATGATTTTTTTTCTACTATTTAAGTCTTCTTGAACTGTTAGCATTTATGAGTCCCAATCTAAGGGAATATGCCATATATACCTTTCTAATGTTGCTTCCTTCTACAGCAGTGAACATTGTATTTATCATTACGTTCCCTATACATTCTTTCTGTAAATCATACTAATCAGAGAAGGAAATACTGTATTTTACCCTTGTTCTCACTGGTCTACATGCAACAAGGTATCATAGACATGGTCCTCTGGCCTTTATGATCTTCTAAATGTAGCTACTGTTGAGTGTCATTTTTTTCTTGTTGCCTACTGCTCAAAAATGTGTTTGTCTCTTTCATCCTGCCTAGTTTTTATGAAACATCATCTAGGTATGAAGAGACTAGCAATGAAAAGGAAATTAGTTGCTGGCGGCACTGCATCAGAAAAATTATTCTGTTATGACTACAAACAGTGGCATCAAATGAGAAAATAGACTTTCAAATTAATTAGCATTTAATGGAAATGGTTTCGGAATAATTATCAGATTGCTTTTAAGTGGCTACATTTACAAGCACATCTCTTCTTTCTATTAAGTCCTTGCCAGGGAAAAATAACAAATCTGTGTAAATTTTGAGTTTTGAACCTGTTCTATGTTTGTACTTACTTGACAAAAAGTCCTAAGGAGAATAAGGAACCAATAATACTGCCCTGTTCCTCACAGCCCCAATGAAAGATCTGTTTATTCTTCCAAAAGACAAAGAGCCTTTGCACCTTTATATGTGGGGGGGAATAAGCATAGTGTTCTCTACCTTCCATACTGTAATTCTTCCAACATCCCTTAGGTGAGGGACCTCTGAGTAGACTGTACTAACAGCCTGCACACATCCACTAGGACACCTCTCTGTAAGCCCATCGAGGCTATCACAGCAACAAATGGACGTAAAGAGATCAGATCTGACTCACTATTCATCACTAAGCATGCACTGTTTTACATCTTTTTTTTTTTCCCCTGTAAACCTCTCTAGTATTTTCCAAAGTGACAGACATAAGTGACGAAGTCAACTTCTCAGGAGTCTGTTTTCAAATAATCTGAACATAAGAAGTACTAAATCTTTTATTATATCCCATTTTTCCCTTGAGCATTCTAACTCTGCAAAATAAATAAATAAATAAATTGTTTACTGTCTTCTTCCTGCAAGAATGGTAATAGCTGGGAAGAGAAAAATAACAAAACTTCAGCCAGCTAGACTGCTGTTATGATAAAAGTGTAATCATTGCACATTTGCATCTACTTTGTTTAACATTTTTCATATACAGATACTTCATCGATTGGAAGAATGATGTGGACAGCTACTTTACAATAGATGCTACTGAAGGAACCATTGCTACTAATGAATTACTGGACAGAGAAAGCACAGCACAATACAATTTCTCTATAATTGCAAGTAAAGTTAGTAAGTATGACACAAATTGAATTAATATCCTAATGTGGCATTTTTTTCAGAATGTAGTGCTCAAACAGAAATATGCTGTAAAGAGTGCATGTATTACTAAGAAATTATTTAGAAAGGCCCAACAAATACCATTTTCCCAGACTCACTGTAAGGCTGTGTGATGTTCAAGCAGGTCTGTACAGTGAGAGTTTTCTAGTAGTCCTCATTCAGGGACAGTTTCTTCAGAAGCTGAAAAAAGTTTTGTCGGCATGAAGAGTTCAAGACCAGAGGGGACTGTACAAGGACCTTCCTGTTCTCATTTCTGCTTTTATAATGTGAAATATGGTCAGTCAAGTAACAGGCACTCTATGTGCTTTCTGAGGATGTAAAAATATAAACACTCATTCAATTCACAGACAAGCAGTGTGAGAAAATTAAGTCAAGATAGCATGCCAATAAATTAAGGCGCTAAATGAATCAGACTGCTTGCTCTCTGCTTTTGATTTTTCTCTTTGTCCAAGACTCTTTCTGCTTAACCACTTGTTTTCTTTTCCTGTATGATCTGTGGTGGTTTAGTTTGTTTTGTGTCTTCTCTCACAAAGCTTTTACTTTTGGATAAGAACTGCCTTCCTTTGTTGTATTGAGTAACTTCACCTTTCTTCATTGCTATCCTTGTGTGTAGCATTCCTCCCTCATGATCCTGTCAAACTGAAAGAGTTGTAGGCTTATATCATCTTTTGAATACAAGTTTTTTGATCATCCAGAAGTTGTGTAAAGGCCACAAAAGTATCACTTTGGACATCAACAGGTTGTAGAAGGAGATCCCTGATGCGTTTCTTATTCATTCTGTATTGTTTGTGTGTCCAGAAATGCAAGTTTCTATAGCAAAGAACATGTTTTCCTCAATGTATTGCTTGGCACTAAGACTTAAGTAATACATTCTGCTAACTGGAAGAGGGAGATTTTGGAAATAGAAAAGGCATATATTATTTAAAATAAAGAAATTCTCAGTTGTAATTGTATCCCAGAGAACTACATGTTCATTCCCTGGAGTCTGAAAATATAACAAGGGCACCGGTCAGATGAACACCTGAATTCTATTAGCTTGAAGTAGGAATACACTGACAGAGGTAACTATCATAAGCGATTGAGTATATGGAGATACGTGTGCATGTGTATACTGACAGGAAGTCCAGCAGAACTGCACTTCCTTTCCAGAGAAACTGAAAGGCAGGTAGATGCAGTAAGGAGGTCTCTTAATGGTCTGCATTTCATTAGAGCTTAAGTATTTATTGGTGGATAAGGAATGTGTGAGAAGTGTAAAATTTTTCTGCAATAAGGCAGCAGATTTAATAAGCTTAGTGTGAATCTGTTTATTTAATTACCTAAAGTAATTTAAGTCAACTAAAACCTCTATGAGCACATTCTCAACACATATACAGTAATAAAATGTTTATGTAATGCTGAAGCAGGTAGCCTGTGCTGCAGAATTTCCAATTTTAACAATTACCTAGTTAAAACTTTACATTGAGACATAATTGTGACTCATTTCACAGCACACCAATATGTATACATCAACCATTATACATAGCAATAAAAACAATTGCTGTACCTGTTTCCAATACAAATATTGTAAAATTATGGAAGATTTGAGGTATATAAACTCTCAAAAATTTATATGCAGTTGTCTGACTAGAACTAGCACAGAAATAACCATGGGCGGTTGAGAAATGGCACACTGCACACAGCCAAGAAGGCATAAGAAAATGAAAAGGGAACACCTGAATTAAAAGAAGAAAAAAATACAGTATTATGCAATTTGTTCTGCTACAAAAGGAGATGCTACCTATTCAGTGCTGATGCAGAAACACTGAAATTACCATCTCTTATAACAGTAACAGTATACTGATCAGTACCTTGGCATATACATAAATACCCAGGGAGACTGGCCCAGTATTGCATAAACTTGTCCCAGGAATAGACTTTATTCTTATCTAGGTATTTTCAACTCTTGTTGATCTCAGCTATTTAAAAGAAACAGACTCCAAAATATTAATATGCCTATTACTTATTTTGCTTTCTCACATCATTTTTTTTCCTCTGAAAGAATGCCATAAAACCTTCTAGATATCTTCCAGTGGTCATTTTGCAAATTATCTTTTCTAGACCAGGCCAACTATAAACAAGGCCCACCAGCTTTGTCTCCATCAAGTTAGAGAAAAAAATAAATTAGATTGGCTTTGCCATCATTCCCTTGTATATGGAAAATGATGCCAAGGTCATGAGTGGGCTTGTGTAGACTCACAGTCTGTCTCTTAGCACCGGAGCTTTCTAGTGATTGTTCCCAACGTGCTTCTGTAGCTTCAGAATGAGACCCTCTAAGAATCGCAGATGACGCTTGTTACATTTTTATTTTTTTTCCTTCTCACAGCAAGTAGAGTCTCAAAGTAATACTACAATTTCTGAACAATCAAATTACCTTTCACAACACAAATGGTACAAATGACATGCAGTTCATATAACTAAACATAACAGCAGACAACACGTAAATATAAATGTAGAATTGGATGTACCATTTGGACTTCTCTTATAAGCTGATAAGTCTGACTTTTATTAGCAGAAAAGCACCAGATGCTGTATTTTTAAAAGGAAACTATCTCAAAAATGAGGCAGAGGAGAATTGCTTTATGTATATTAGAGTATCCTTTGATGACCTTGCCTATTAGGAGAAAATAATATATATTTATTTATATATATATATATATTTTTTTTTAAATCATTGTTCTTTGGGAATTTGTAAATGTTTTTACATCCATTGTCCTCATTCTGCATTTTTATTTGACAAAGATATACGGAAAGTACTCTTTTCTAAGCTCCAGGTCTTGACACTTCATTCATATGTACACCAGATGTGGTGCAGATTGGTAGATTGAACAGAGGCAAAACTTAGAGCCTTAGCAACAAGTTAATTATTAAATCTGCTTGTTCTAGGCTTGCTTGTGTCAACTTGTATGCTCAGAGACAAAGCAAGTTCTGATTAGCAAGAAGTGACACCATATATCTTGTTTATGAACAGTAGCAGCTTGTTCCATGTGGGGAACTCAGATAAGGAAAGTAATTCTAGCCATGTTATGCAATGACCAGCTCCAACCATGTATCATTATACTGCTATTTTTATTTCTAACCCTGATAAAATACCAAACACCTGATCTAAACATGATCTGTGAATCTGTCTCCAAATAGCAACACAATGGACTGTTGAGAACATCTTAGATGTTTACCCAGCACAGAGTGATGGATGCCTACTGTGTGTAACACAACACACTATAACTTTATTCTTGCCCTTGTTTAAGCTTATCCCAAAGTGGAAATCTTCTTTCTTGGGAGGTGTATGACTGTTCTGCTAACATATGGATGATGACACAGATGTAAAGGCAGCTGAAAGCAGAAGGTCCCTTAACCATGTATAGAAATAAAAATTAAAAGAACAACAACAACAGCCTTCGTATCAAAAAAAGTGCTTAAAAAGGAAAGGGATGTTTCAGACTCCTATTTTACTTGAAATTCTTTTCTCTCCCAAAATGTATTTCATTGTGGTTTTGTTTTCTTCTTAGAGTAAATCAATACCCTAGTAGCTTTCATGCTTCTTGTTTCTGAACATTTTTGATCCCATAAACTCTGTCCAAACTAATGAATTAAACATGCCTCACATTTATTCCACGCACTAAGGCCAGCTGGCACTGAGCAGCCCATTTCTTTGCTATCAAATACTCTTACCTTCCAAACAGGGTGTCCACATGTAAATCGATTCTCTGAGAGTGGTCCCTCATCCAAACTAACTCTCAGTATGTGAATGTGAATCACCTGCAAGACCACTAGTTGCCCCAGGACAAAAATGTGCCAAGGACTGCTGTAAGAACTTACCAGTAGAAATAACCACAGTCCAGTGCTCAGTAAGTTCCCTGGTGTCCTGCTTAATTACCAAAGAAGGAAATAGTTTTTGCATCTTACAAAAGAGATAAAAAAGAGGTAAAAGAGGTTAGCATAAAGATCTTACTTCTGGTTTCCCATCCTCAAGGCTATGGTTATGGTTGAAAATAAATATAAAGTATGCATAATCCTTTCTGTCCATATCATCTTCCCAACTCCTGTAACTCTAGGTTCAAGTTTTGTGAGTGCTTAAGAAACATAAGCTTAAATCTCAAGATGGAGTTTATCCTCTTCCTTAATACTATAGGTCGGACTAAGGAATCACCAGTTCTCCTCAATGATCAGCATATGTTTTCTCAGATATCTTAGATTTGAACAAGCTTATTTGTAAAAGTATTTTCTATTGCTGTAAAGATGTTAGGGTAGTCAAGCAAAAGAAGGAAGCAAGGTTGTCAGTGGATAGGACAGATAGGAAAAATGAGGAAGAGAGAAGCTAATTAATTTGCCTGTATCATATAAGCAGGATTGAAACCTGAAATCTGCCTTTTAATTACTATGCTAATGATTTAACCACTTGCCTTCTCTTCTGTGTAATATGGGTTTAAAAGGCATAAGCAGATGTTTTCAGTGACTCACTCACTGACACCAGCATGCATATCACTACTGTGCTCACTGGGCTCAGAATTATTTGATTTTCAGAATAAAACAGCAAATAAAAGAAAAACAGAGAAAAATGAGGTCAACTCTGTGAAGTGGTATTTGAAATGTAATTCTCTGTCCTTGTTCACATCAAGTATTACAAGTCTTTGTAATCATATGTGAATTCAAAGCTGTATACAGTCTTCTGGCAGTCTTCCTTTGTATACATGACTAGTTACACTAATATCACTGCAAACCAGAAAGAAAATGAAACAAACCATAATGTGAAACCCAGAATTAGCTCCATCTTATGCTGTAGTAACTCTGTTTATTTCCATGTTTGATTTTTGCAAGAAAAACATCTATCTTGTAAAAATAGTTGGCAGAAAGATATATAAACTTTTCAAAGAATCTCATTGATGGTCTAATTTATTTTCTGAGAAACAGATGCAAAAAGTATACAGATATTCATGTATATTTGCAAAGCTTGCTGCAGTGATTATGAGAGAAGGCAAAATGGTAATTCTTTGTATATTTTGTACACGTATGAATTTTGAATATATTCATGCTTCTACTGGAAGGACATTTTTAATGTATTCCTATAAAGAAATGAAAAAAAAACAAACCTATCTACACCTGTACTTTCACAGCAATGCATTAACCTCTCATGTGTCTTCAGAATATATACTGAACTCTGGCTGCTCAGCTTTAAACCTTAGAATGAATGTGGAAAATCTGAAGAAAAGCCCACGTTACTCTGTGGGAGTTGCTGGGTTCTGCAGGGGGCACTGCAAGCAGGGAAGTTTCAAGATTTTAGGTTCGGTTTCTGCCAGTATGTTTTTGAACTTGACCTGCTCAGTACTCCAACTTATATTCAGAGTTGGAGTCCTGCCCTCTACTGACAAAAAATAGCGTCTTAGTACTTTTTTGTTTCCTGTCAGTTCAAAGGAACCAGTTCAACTGTGGCAAGTGATCTAGATTTCTTCTGGCACCTAAACAATCCCTGCCCTGTTCCCGGAACAAGTCCTGTCCACAGTCATACTGCACAAAGCCTTTTTCCAGACACCTTCTGAATGTAGGGCTGGTGATAACTTGGAAACGACTGTGGGCTCAAAGAGCACAGAAAACAATGGTCAGATTTCTATACTAATTAGACAGGATCACAGGAAGGAACTACAAATACGGTGGGATTTTGGTAGTGGTATTTTTAAGATTTCAAGTGAATATGTAAGATGGTCAGTTTGCCCACTACTTGTAAACAAGTAAAGCATGCTTTTACTTGCAACCACTGCTACTTAACTGGGAAATCACTTTGAAAAGCCTTTTTGCTTTGGCAGAAGCCTCTTGAAAACATTTCCTTTAGTAGTTCCTAAGAACAGGAAAGAAATCACGTACGATTTTGACAAGTGCTACAATGAATTTCTGCATGCTGAGTTGTAAGGTATTGTTGGCCTGAGAAGAGACTTTGCCCCCTGCCTTGTTAGTAATAAACAATAGATTTGCACAGGTTTATACAAATTACAAAGTTAGCAGCTGCTGCAATTTAAACCGTTCAGTTATGTCTGAAGATTCAAGAAAACTGTTCTTGTTCTTAACCATGACCCCATGCTGTCATTTCTACACCACCTAGCTTCATGGCATAGATTTCTTGAATAACTAACTGTGTCTGTGTAGTCACTGCCACCCTTTAAATTCAAAAGGATAATTATATTATCCTTTTCTATGTATCTGCTGTCATCCAAGGCATCTCAGCATAACAAGAGTAAAAGAGAATTTTATCTGCTTGGTATTGAATTTGTATCTCCTTTCCATTGGACATTGAATTTGCAGGTAATCTTTTTTATAAAATATATCTAGTGACTACATTATATCAGCTTAATAAATTATACTTATCTGTGTTAGTAAGACAATGAACAGAAGCAGAATATATACTATTTTTTAGCATTTATTTTGCACAAGACTATTTGGTCCTTCCAAATATTTATGCAGCTAAACAAATATGTTTTGACATAGCTTGATAATCTGAGTTGAATCTTAGTTCTATATGTTTCACTGCTAAATTTACCACTGGTTTTCAGCAAGTTTTTTTTCTTTTCTTTTTCTTTGTAATCTTTCTCTCTCACTTTTCTGCATCTAATAAATGAGTATGCTCCACTTACCTCCTTAATATATTGGAGATGCAAACAGTGGCTAGATAATATTGATTTTCTGCAATCCATTGTGGAAAACAGAATTCAGTTTTAATCATTGGAAGTATTTTCCAAAGACTCCATGAAAAGTGATCTGAGAAAAGTTTGCACCTATAATTACACGTGAAGTTTCAAATTCTGTAAATCATGCTCTGATAAACATAATCATGTTGATTGATTCCTTACTTCATGAACATTAATGGATCAGAGTCTGGTAAAAAATGATAAGAAGCTTGCTTCTGATTTCTGCTTAGTACAAATCAGAAATAAATGGAAGTCAAGGATTTTTAGAAGTCATCATACTGTGATCAAAACATATTATGACAGCTCATGGGCACTGGTGATGACAACAAACATAAATAGCATTCCTTAATGCTTTTCTCCTAAAAATTATTTATAGGTAACCCATTATTAACCAGCAAAGTCGACGTTATAATAAACGTCTTGGATGTCAACGAGTTTCCTCCTGAAATTTCAGTTCCATATGAGACATCTGTATGTGAAAATGCCAAACCAGGACAGGTATTTCAAATTTGTAATGCTTGCTACTTTTCTTTATATTTTCTTATTATTTATAGCAATGCAAAATTCTCGGTTTGAAAAACGGCATCGTGTTTACATGATTCTTTTACAAATTAAATGCCTGTGATGTAAATATCCACCTTTTGGAATTCTGTTTGTTGACCTTTATGGTCTAGTTACTTTTGTGAGCCCTGGTTATACAGGCTACAGCCACCCTCTGCTGTGAAGGGGTGGCAGGAGAAAGAAGCCCTTCATGTAAGATATTTAAAGACTGCAGTCTTTAACTGCAGTCAAGTGAGTAAACAGAGCAGGATGGATTACATACATCTCTGTGTCCTATCCTCAGGAAAGAAACCCACAATACCAAAGACAGCCCTTCTGAAAGCTTGTTTTTACAAGCAGTTTCAAACATATATATAGAATGCAAACCCTTTTTCAGATTCAGAATAGCACCTTATACCATGAACAGGGCCTACGTCAATAGAGCTGGCACAGCGGTTGTTGGCAAGTGCTCTTCCTGCACAAAATTTGCACAACTAAACAACATTGTGCTGCAAAATGCCAAGGCTTTGCACCTTGCTGCAAGGCATGAAGGCTACCATCACACATACTAACAGCTAGGATGGTTTCCAAGACCTCTAACTGTTCAACTACGGGTGTTACTGCCAGCAGTGGAAGGAACATATACAGCCTGCTGTGTCATCAGTGACTTCTCTTTATATGCATGTAATATTTATTCAGCCCACATGATTTTTATTGATTTTATTACAGATATAATAGTGATCATATAGTATTCCTCTCATCTTCTTTTTTTTTTTTTTTAAATTTTTTATTTTACATGCTTCACAACTACCTCCCAGAAATCTTAAATTAGATTCTAGTTCATCAGATCAAAACCTTTCGTTTTATATTCAGACACTGGTAATGGGAAGGGCAGTCTTTTACAGGAAAGGCTGCAATAAATGATTAACTGACAAAAATTATAAATATTTTTTTACATAAATAATTGCCAAAATTTTTTGTCACAAAAGTCTAGATCAGTGGCAATCCTACCATGAAACATTCTAACTGCGCTGTCCTCAACTAAAATCTAATAGGTCCTCATCTACTCTTAAGACTCAAAAGTTCCTGTCATAATACTCCATTCATGCCTGGATAGTATAGATCTTTCAACCCTCTCCACTTCCTCCCAAGCTGGAAAAAAAAAAAAAAAAAAAAAAAGTGCAGCTTTGTGAAGTACTGCACCATGTGGTGTTACTAATAATGGTAGTAGCAATAAAAAAGTGAGCTGTCTTTAATTAATATACCACTCACCTGCAAACAATCACTCATATTTTGATACAAAGAATTAATATTAAATACTTCCCCTATCATAATAGGGAAAATGCTTCTGATTTCCTTCATATATGCCAAAGGGAGACCTTCTGTGACATCACCAGACTTCCAGAGGTTAGGGCATTCAGACTCCTCACCTCACTTCCAGTAGAGGAATGAGAGTAATCCAGAAGGATTTCCCTTTCATTGTTTCACCTGAGGTTCACTTTCCACTTCTACAAAACTGTTTTTTAGAAGAGTGAACTGACTTCAGAATTAACCTTAATTTGGTTTCAGGTAATACAGACTGTCACTGCAGCAGACAAAGATTTGTCACCAGCTGGGCAAAGGTTTTCCTTCAGACTGTCACCTGAAGCTTCCAACAAACCAAATTTCACAGTCCATGACTACAGAAGTAAGTTGCTTACCTGTATCTCTCTTTCAGAGCAGCAGGCTGTGATTATAATGACCATTATGATTACTTTGTATTACAGTCATGCCTACAGACTAACTTTTTTACATGACATGTTTCTAGTTGTTAAACTATTTAGGACATACAGAGATATATATTTAAGTCTTACATTTTTTTCTCATCTGTAGGGGCCAGAAATTGTCTGAACATCAAAGTCTGGAATTTCCTTACAGGCCTGCAAAAACACTACTGCATGTTTCATTACTCTTTCTTCCAGTGCAGGTCTACCATTAAATAAGGCATTAATGCTGCATTGTTTAAATAGTACTGCTTTTCTAACTGATTTCAAAGGATGCAGCTATTATGCTTTCTGAAGAACACATACATGTAGTCCTATAGGAGAATTAGTTCTGAATATGGATACTGCTGCTGCAGTATAACACCATCCTACAACACTCTCAAAAATTGATAGATTTATATGATTAACTTACCTGATTTTTCTCCCAGTTTTTTTTTATTACTGATGATCTGTTCTTTATTTTTCAATTGAATGCTTCCCATAAATGGCAAAGATTACTTTTTTTACTGCCATAGAATTCTTTAAGCATGTACTCTTCTGAACAGAAACAGCAAAAGAAAATCCCAGAATATCTCTATTACTTACTTTTTCCTGATTTTCCTTTTAGTAGAAAAAAATCTTTTTTTTTTTTTTTCCAATTGATGGTCTATATTTTTTATACAGAATCCAATACCCAGCATCAACATTGCCATATTAATCATGCTGTACTGTGTCTCTTGACTAAGTGGTACTTTATCATATAACAACTGATGGTAACAGCTGTCAAAATTACAATGAAAGCATGATGACTAATCATGTCCTTTAAGTGATAAAGTGCCTTGTTTTACTTCACAGGTGGAGGGGGTATAGGAAACTGTGGTTATGCCTGCATTGGGGCAGGTCTGCTCAAGCTCAGGGTAGGAATGTAGGATGCTATAGTGTTTAAGAAATTAAATGATGCTGAATTGGATTAATTTATTTATGTGTTTACTTATTTACATAAAGGGTGCACAGGTGGCTAATTCTCTTAAGTCCTTTTTCAGCATGTAAGTACTTTATACACCGGTAGTGTTCTTAATGCTTATGTTATTATTGTTACAGAGAAGATACATATCTATAATACATCATAATAAACAGCAGCAAATTTTCATTACCAATTAATTTAAACAAATTTGGAAAGAAATTTTAACACTGAGTCTATCAGTAATTAAGTGATTTTTGAAAAACCGTGATATAAGCTTTTCATTAAAAAAGTTTTACCTTGCTTTGCAAAGAAAGAATACATAAGGCCTCAAATAAAATTCAGTAACATTCCTTTACTTATTTGCTTAGCTATATGTTCTAATTATTATTTTAAGAAAAAGTATTTGATTCTTATTATTTAATTTTAATTTCAGAAGATGGTAAGTATGCTGTCGAGTATTCCTTTCTTGAGAACTGTTATCTCATCTAAGAAGAGCTAGAAATGAAAAAAAAAAATGCATAGGCTACTTATTAAGTCATTTTTTTCTTACATTTAATATATGACTCTGAAGATGTTAACTTTTGCCAAGGTTAGGAGGTATCAAACGAAAGCCAACAAAATAAGCACAGATATTAATTATGAATACCTTAATGATTAAGAAAGTTCTGGAAAAAGATAAATTTAAAACAGCAGAAAAAATAACTTTTTTTTTTTTTTTTCCTCATAGCTTCTCTGTATGGATGACAAGGCAAAACTGTTTTCTTTCCAATCTTAGTAGTGACTACAGTCTAAGGGTATCACAGATAGCTATGTTTATAGTTTATTAATGATCAAAGAATTTCACTTAATGATTTGTAAATACAGTATGTAATGAAGACAAAATCTTCACAACATCAGAGATATGAATAGTATTAACTTATCAAACCAGAAACATGTAGATCAGCATTTTTTCAGAGACCAATCAACTTGTTTTCTTGAGACAGTTCAACGAATATAAAGCCTTGTAATGGAATTAAATCCTCTTACTTTTTCTTTTTTCCTTGTAAGATTAGGTCATTATTCTTCTCCTGAAGTGCTCAGTCTAGTAAGTTTGGTTTTAACATCTACTACTTTCTCAAGATGCTGTGGTATTGCAACATCTAACGTTATTTAGTCCAAGCAAGATTAAAATATTGCTCATCATTGAGTCCCACTGGACTTACCCGTTTGATAGTGGTGAATCACAGAATTGTCTAGGTGGGAAGAGACCTCAAGATCACCTAGTCTGACCTCTAAAACTATGGTTTAGTGGAGGACTAACAAGTCCTCCACTAAACCATATCACTAAGCTCTACATCTAAACGTCTTTTAAAGACCTCCAGGGATGGTGACTCAACAACTTCCCTGGGCAGCCCATTCCAATGCCTAACAACCCTCTCAGTAAAGAAGTTCTTCCTAATATCCAACCTAAAACACCCATGGTGCAACTTTATCTCATTCCCCCTCATCCTCTCACCAGGCTCGTGGGAGAACAGACCAACCTCCACCTCACTACAGCCTCCTTTAATGTACTTATCAAGAGCAATAAGGTCGCCCCTGAGCCTCCTTTTCTCCAGGATGAACAAACCCAGCTCCCTCAGCCACTCCTCCTAAGACTTGTTCTCCAAACCCCTCACCAGCTTCGTCGCCCTTCTCTGGACTCCCTCAAGCACCTCAATGTCCTTCTTGTAGCGAGGGGCCCAAAACTGAACACAGTACTCGAGGTACAGCCTCACCAGAGCAGAGTACAGGGGGACAATCACTTCCCTAGCCCTGCTGGCCACACTGCTTCTTATGCAAGCCAAGATGCTGTTGGCCTTCTTGGCCACCTGAGCACACTGCTGGCTCATATTCCACTGACTATCAACCAATACTCCCAGGTCCTTCTCTGCCAGGCAGCTTTCCAACCATTCATCTCCCAGCCCGTAGCTCTGCTTGGGGTTATTGCGCTCCAGGTGCAGGGCCCAGCACTTGGCCTTGCTGAACTTCATGCAGTTGACCTCAGCCCATCGGTGCAGCCTATCCAGATCCTCCTGCAGAGCTTTCCTACCCTCGAGCAGATCGACACACGCACCTAACTTGGTGTCATCTGCAAACTTACCAAGGGTGCACTCGATCCCCTCGTCCAGATCATCGATAAAGATATTAAAGAGGACTGGCCCCAGTACTGAGCCCTGGGGAACACCACTAGTGACCGGCCTCCAACTGGATTTGACTCCATTCACCACAACTCTTTGGGCCCGGCTATCCAAACAGTTTTTAACCCAATGAAGCATATGCCAGTCCAAGCCACGAGCAGCCAGTTTCTTGAGGAGAATGTTGTGGGAAACTGTGTCAAAGGCCTTACTGAAGTCAAGGTAGGCCACATCCACAGCCTTTCCCTCATCCACCAAGCACGTCACTTTGTCAAGAGGAAGTTTGCTTTCTCTTAATGCTGTACTGCAGTTTCTGTTGTTTTCCATTCTCTGATTTGCTGTCCATAGTGTTTTCTTGGAAAACTCAACATGATGCAGTAACTTTTGCCATTTTTTTTTACCAAAAAGGTGGAAAGTCTGCTCTGTAGACAGTTTAGAAGTGTAATAACAAAACCTCATTTTTGCTACAGGTTTTGCTACACCTCTTAATAAATACAATAATTTTTAAGTTAGAGATTGTGTATTTGTGTACCTTGTATGCCTTGTACTAACAAGGCTGGTACTTTGTAAGAGGAACTTGAGGTTTAGTTGGGGGAACAATCTTGCTTGTCGCATTATAGTTAATACTTTTACAAGTAAAGATGTCTTAACATTTTTAAACTCATCAAGATGCTCAATATCCAGTGCTATTTGATAGTGTTACTATCATTGGTGATATGAAATCAGAGTTGGTGTAATGTGTTTGTAGTGCACCTGGTGTAATGTATTTGTAGTTTTTATGTAGTGTAGATGATTAAACAGAGAAAGAACAAGCTGAAGACGGAAGTTAGTTTGTTTCAAACAACTTTGAAACATTTTTATCTTTCAAAATTAAAATTCACTGAACCTGTCATGTCCATGTGCCATGTTTGTTTCACAAAATGGTGACTTCTGAAATAATCATTCTGTCAGTCAAGTGCTTTCTGAATGGTGTCTGATCATAATGCATCTGATCTTGGATATTTAGGATTCCTTCTTATTGTCCTGTTGAATTCACCAGCCTTAATTTTTCTAGTGACAAAACCACAAGCGGGACTGAGAGTCATAGCATAGACAAGCAATAACCTTTTCTGAAGATACAGTAAAACACAGGGGTCAGATGATAAAATAGTTACTGCTGCAGGCTACCTTCATTCAGATCTGACAGATTATTGATTCCTTGCTAATTTTCTTTTCTTTTTGTTTTGAATATAATTATTTTTATCTGCACATAATTTTCATGCTGCTCTGTTTGATTCAAGAAAAGCAGTGATAACTGAATAGCTACTGAGAAGAAATGACAAAACATAACTTCTAGGAGCTCTGAACATATTTGTGTCTAAGTGATGGAAAATGTGCTGATTATAAATTACTCAGATCATTTCTGTACTTATTTTTAATGAGGCAAGAAAGTTGAAGGGGTTTTGTATTTTGTTCAAGTATCTTATTTTCATTTTTAAAGGTAAATGAATTGCTTAATAGAGAGCAAGTGGATCTAAATACACTTGCAAACGAGTCCTTTTGAGCACAGTCCTGGACTTTAAGGAGATAAGGAGAAAAAAACTGAAAAGCCTTCCTACACTACACTACCTGTAGTGTTTTTATTTATTTATTTGTCTTTCAAATGTTAGCTGTCAAGCTAACAAGTTTACAAGAAATGAAGTATTAGTTGATGCTCTGCACCGATCAGAATACAGTACCATCTGTAATGATAAAATCAGGTAATTACATAATATCTTGTCATTCACTGAGTTTCAGAAATAAAACAGCTTCCTTTGATTAAAGGTGATACAAACTACAAGGGTGAATTCAGTGCACAATAAAAATCCTGTAATATCTTTCTCATGTTTTACAGACAACACAGCTGGGATTGAAACCAGGAAAAATGGCTACAGCAGGAGGCAGCAAGAGCTGTACTTTCTTCCAGTGGTAATAGAAGATAGCAGTTACCCTGTCCAGAGCAGCACAAACACAATGACTATCCGAGTTTGCAGATGTGATTCTGATGGTACCATCCTGTCCTGCAATGTGGAAGCAATCTTCTTGCCAGTAGGCCTCAGCACTGGAGCACTGATTGCCATTCTGCTGTGTATTGTTATACTTCTAGGTTAGTTCTCATGACACAATTTGAAGTGTGTTATTATGACTCACCTGTGAATTACTAGTGAATCACTAGTGTTGTCACTAGCGTAATCTGGTGTTTAAAAAAGCCACTGAAAATTGCATGGATGTTTAGGAGAACTTGTGTGCTTCTACCTTTCTAGGAAAGCATCCCAAAAACATTGACAATGAATGTGAATCTGCTAACCCCTACATGTTTCTTATCGCATGAAATGAACCAACTTTCAGTGGAACCTGAACTGTATTTTTTCTCTGAAACAGTTTCACTTAATACTTTTCTTGAAAAGCTGACATTTTTTAAATTAAAAAGGTAGAGAAGTCTTACTGACAGTAACAGCAGTAAAGGACTTAGCAAAGTCCTTTATTTAATTCTTAATACCAACTTGAGAAAAAGAAAAGTGATGAAATGAAAGAAAATAAAAGAATTGTAATAAAGACTGTGACTGGCTAGGTCGCTGTAAAATTTGACACAAACATTTTAATTTCAGCTTGCCTTCCATAACATGGCATCATCATCTAGATCTACATTATATTTAAATCTCATCTTATTTACAGTATGCCCAAGGCAATCCATACTAGTGTGCATCCTACCTACAGTATAGCTTTAATGACCAGGTAATAAATTCAAGACACCTTTGTAACATACACAGGCTCACTGTGGGCTACGTAATGCAGACTGATTCTTACAGAGGCCTCTTCTTAATACTAATGGTCTTCCTAGATCTCATGCTAATCCTTGTGTACGTTTATTGGATAAACAAAAAGAGCACAGACACTGAATATAATTTAGGGATTGTTGTGGTTCTGCTTGAGTGGGCAGTTGAGCTCCACCACAGCCGCTCTCTCACTCCCCCTCCTCAAAGAGAAATGGGGAGAAAATATGTGAAAAGAGCTCAAAGGTTGAGATAAGGACAAGAAAATCACGCAGTAATTATTGTAACAGGCAAAACAGACTTGGCATAGGGAGATAGTAAGATTTATTGCTTATTACTAACAAGCTAGAGAAGTGAGAAACAAAGGAAAGAAACCAAAAGCACCTCCCCCCCCATCCACCCTCTTCCACCTCCTCCCCCCGAGCGGTGCAGGGGAATGGGGGAATGGGGGTTATGGTCAGTCTACAGCACTTCTTTGCTGCTCCTTCTCAGTCACTCTCATCCCCTGTGCTGTGAGGTCCCACCCACGGGATACAGTCCTTGATGAACTGATCCGGCGTGGGCTTCCCACAGGCAGCAGCTCTTCCAGAACTGCTCCAGATATGGGTCCGTACCACGGGGTCCATCCCTCAGGAGAAAACTGCTCCAACCTGGCTCCCCTACGGGCAGCAGCTCCTGCCAGGTCACCTGCTCCTGCGTGGTCTCCTCTCCACGGGCTACAGGTCCGGCCCGGAATCTGCTCGGGCAGGGGTCTTCCACAGGCAGCAGCCTCCATCCGTGCAGGGCCACCTGCTCCACCGTGGTCTCCTCCACGGGCTGCAGCGTGGATCCCTGCTCCACCGTGGTACTCCATGGGCTGCAGGGGGACATCCTGCTTCACCATGGTCCTCACCACAAGCCACAGGGGACTTCTGCTCCAGCGCCTGGAGCACCTCACCCCCTCGTTCTTCACTGACCTTGGTGCCTGCAAGGCTGTTCCTCACTCCTCTCACTCTCCCAGCTGCTGTGTGGCGCAGCGTTTTTTTCCCTGTCTTAAATATGCTCTCACAGAGGCACAAAACAACATCGCTTATTGGCTCAGCTCTGGAAAACAGTGGGGCCCTTACCAAACATGGGGCAGCTTCTTGATCCTTCTCACAGAAACCACCCCTATGGCCCCCTGCTACCAAAACCTTGCCACGTAAACCCACTGTAGGGATACATCTTTCCATTTGGATATAGTAATTTACCACTTAAGTAAGTACTACAGGATGGAGGTTACATTAGCAGCTTCTAATTAGCAGTGGGTAAAATTCAGAATTTATGTTCTGTACAAATTTTATATTGTGAGAAAAATGTTGTTTGAAATCAGAATGAGAATGGCAAATGTTCAGACTTTATGGAATGAGAATTAGTAAATAGTACACCCATTCTGACGAATTAAAAAAAAACAAAAAACAAAAAACAAAAAGATAAAAGCTCTTAGGTCAGTTTTTCTGAAGAAAGGAAACTATCTTGTCTACCACAAATCCTTGGGATTACTTTTTTTTTTTTTTTTAATTTTTAATTTAATTTTACTTTATTTCTAGGGGGTTGCTGGATAAAAACAGCTAAGAGTGAGCTTCATAATAATAATAAAAAAGCCATTATGAAAAAAGTTTTGGCTTATTTCAAAGTGAAGAATTCAGTCAGTTATAACTCTATCTTAAGGCAGGATTCTCAGGATATCTAAACTCTCTGTTACAGACTCAAGTGTCTAGAAGACCTAACCACAGGTGTAGCAAAGCATTTTATTTTGCCATTCTTATGTCTGGTAATCTGGACTGTGTGAACTATACATCAGAGAGCCTAGCACTTTTAGTCCAGCTTTTTAGTTTCTGGACAAACAGGAATACTCGAAGTCTAAATTTCTCCCAGATTTGCTAAGATTCTCTCTTCAAGAGAATTGTGTTTATGTTTCCCTAATGGTTTTTTGAAACAAATAAAGTATTTATTTTTAAAAATCTGCATATTCAACCAAAAATAGTTATGTCAAAGAACTCAACAACTCTGCTGATGATGAATGCTCTTGGCATATATAACACTAATGAAAATATTTGAATGCATGGTTTGCACAGAACTCCAGACCAAATTACTGAAATTGTGTTTGGAGAAGAGGTTTAATCTTTTAATAGCTCCCTTCATTACAATCAGCCTGGTATATTACCTAGAAAAGATAATGTATAAATTATGAGATCTCTAATGACATGTATATCATAGGAGAATGACATTTATCTTATATCCAGACTTTATCTTTACTATTCCGTTGATAAATTAAAAAAAAAAAAATCCTTCAGGAATTTCATTACTTGCTGTGAACCTGTCCTCCCACAGTCACTAAAATTGTACTTGAAGTCATTCTCATTGAACTTATTTCTGTATAAAATACAGAAAATACATTAGTACTGGGAGTTATTTTATGCCACACGAACCTGGCCATGAATTTGTAATTATTGCAACTCTGTATTCATTATTGTGTTACTTCACTAAGAGCAGTTAGGATACTCTCGTTTCTACTAAAGACAGTTAAGGAATTAAATATAAGAAAATGCCAGTTTACTATTAGCAGATTTTGCATTTGATAAACTGTATCTCTGAACTACTGAAAAAAAAAAGAAAGAAAAAAAAAAGAGAAAAAAAAACATACACACTAAACAAACAAACCAAAACAAAAAACCCCAACCCATAAACCAACTTCTATTGAGTACAAAATCACAGTTGGAAGGTGCTTATGGAAATTAACTAGTCCAACCTCCCTGCTTGGAGCAGGGCCATGTAAAGAAAGACTGTATTCAGCTGGGTTTTGAATATCTCCAAAGATGGATACAACAGAACTTCTATGGGAAACACGATCCAGTGCTTGGCCATTGTGACTGTAAAAAAAAAGACTTCTTTTACTTATGTTTTAATGGAATTTCCTGTATTTCAAGTTATACCGCATTGCCTCTTGTCCTGTCACTGGGCTACTGAGAAGACTCAGGCTCCCTCTTCTGTACTTCCATCCATCAGGTATTTATGTACATTGGTATAAGATCCCCTTGAGCCTTCTCTCACCGGCTCTACAGTTGCAGCTCGCAGTACCTCCTTGTATGTCAGTCAGATGCTTCAATCCCTTAGTGGTCTTTGTGGCCCTTTGCTGGATTTGCTCCAGAAAGTCCATGTCTGCTTTGTATGGAGAAACCCAGGCATGTACCCAGCACTCCAGATGTGGCCTCACCAGGGCAGCACAGACAGCAAGGATCACCTTCCTTGGCCTGCTGGCAACACTTCCTAATACAGCCCATGCTGCTGCTAGCCTTCATTGCCACAGGGGCACATTTTTGGCTCATGGTCAACTTGCTGCCCACCAGTATTTCTAGGTTCTTTTCTACCAAGCTGCTTTCCAGCCAGTTAGCCTACAGCATCTAGTGGTGCATGAGATTATTCCATTCCTCCAGTCGGATTTGGCATTTCCCTTTGTTGAACTTCATGAGTTTCCTATTGGCCCATTTCTCCAGCCTGTTGAGTTACCTCTGAATGGAGTCACAGACCCAAGTTTTCTATCACCTGCAACCTTGCAGATGGTGTACTCTGTCCAGGTCATTAATGAATATGTTAAACAAAACTGGTCCCAGTATCGACCTGTGGTTTATCATTAGTGCGTGGCCTCAAATATCTAGCTATCAATCACAACATTTAAAGCCTAGCCATTTGGCCAGTTTTGCCATCCACCTCACCATCCAGTATCTTGTCAACATTTTCTCAGTTTTTTCTGTGAAGGTTATTACAGAGATAGCATCAAACACTTTGCTAAAGATAGGATAAAAAACATCCACTACTCTCCTTTCATCCACCAGACACCTCACTGTTGAAAGCTATCAGATGAGTTGATATCGGGTGAGTTTTCCCTTCATAAAGCCATGTTTACTTCTGATCACCTTTCCTGTTCTTAATAGGTTTGTTAAAGGGAGGGTTTCCAGAATTATTTTCTCCATTACTTTCATCAGGATCTGAGGTAAGGCTGACTGGACTGTAGTTCCCTGAATCATTTGTATTCTTTGAAATAGTAGTGACAATTGCTCCAGTACTCAAATTTCTCTCTGTCACCAAGACATCTCAAAGATTATCTACAGTGGCCTTGCAATTATATCCGTCATTTCTCTTACCACAGCATACATCCTATCAGTTTCACTGTCCTTGTCTATGTCCAGTTTGTTTAAGTTTTCCCTAACATGATCTTCTTTGACCAAGGATAAGACTTCACTGCTCCAAAGTTTCTCTCTGGTCTCAGGGACCTGGGATTCCTGAACAACAACCTCACCAATAAGGACAAAGGCAAATAAGTGTAGCCTTTTCCAAGTCCTTTGGCACCTGCTGCATTCATCAGTGGGCCCACATTTTCCCTGGTCTTCCTCATGCTGCTCAAGTACTTGCACAAGCCCTTCGTGTCCCCCTTGAGATTCAACACCAGATGGGCTTTGGCTTGCCTAACCCCACTCCTACATTTTCTGCTAACTGTATATTTATTCTGGCTTACCAGTCTTTCCTTCCACCTCTTACATGATTCCTTTTTGTCTTTGAGTTTAGTCAGGAGGTATTTAATGATCCATGAAAGCTTCCTGCTGCCCTTGCTTGATGTCCTGCTCATTGGGATGGATAGCTGTTGAGCTTGGAAGAGGTGATACTGGAAAATCAACCAGCTCTCTGGAACCCCTTATCTCTCCAGAACCATATCACACGTGATTCTTCAAAGCAGATCCTCACAGAGGCCAAAATGCCCTAAAAATAAATAAACAAACAAAAAGCTGAAGTAGGACATTTTTTTTTCATTTCAAAGATTCCTTTATTTTTTCTTTTCCTTTAATACTGTTTTGTTGTTGTTCTTTTTATTTATTTATTTATTTATTTCATTTCATTTCTGTTCTCTCTTTGAAGCATAGAAATTTGGGGATTTTTCTCTATTATGTTATGGAAGACGTTTTAAAAAAATCCTCTGTCTCTCTGAACTACAAGTCCTGTCCAACCCTATATTTTACATAAAGCAAGTCAGCAGGAAGATTATTTGTTACTTCCTTCAGCAGCACAGCAAGCACTAAGGAAAGTTAGATTCATATATCAAACTGCAAATCACTTTTTATTGGCTAGAGCACTGCTAATTTTATAAGAATAGTAGGAGCCTAATTTCTAAGGGAAAAAAAAAAATCCTTTTGGTTTCTCACAGCTTTCAAGGGAAGATACAATGATATATCATCAGAGTACCAAATTACTTCTGTGCATGTCTTAACTTCAGTTTTTTCTCATTACAGTCATTGTAGTATTATATGTAGCACTACGGAGGCAGAAGAAAAAGGACACCCTGATGACCTCTAAAGAAGACATCAGAGATAATGTTATCCATTATGATGATGAAGGAGGTGGAGAAGAGGACACCCAGGCTTTCGACATTGGTGCCCTGAGGAATCCCAAAGTGATTGAAGATAACAAAATGCGCAGAGACATAAAACCAGACACCTTGTGTTTTCCACGTCAGAGACCACCAGTGGAAGATAACACAGACATAAGAGATTTCATTAATCAAAGGCTGCAGGAAAATGATGTGGATCCAACTGCACCCCCTTATGACTCCTTGGCAACCTATGCTTATGAAGGAAATGGATCTGTTGCAGAGTCTCTCAGCTCCATAGAGTCCCTTACTACAGAGGCAGACCAGGATTATGACTATCTGAGTGACTGGGGACCTCGCTTTAAGATCTTGGCAGACATGTTTGGAGAAGAAGAAAGTTATAACCCTGACAAAGTCACTTAAGAGCAAGTACAATGGTGAAATAAAAAGAAAAGTAAACCAACAACAAAATAAAAAGATAAACCTAAGCTTTATAATAGGACAGAATTCCTTTGATTATAAAAGACAGCAAATATTTCCAGCAAGTTACTACATTTATCATACAGTCAGTTTTTGTTTGATCTACAACGGAGAGATAAATCCTGTAATATACAGTTTTTTTGTTGTTGTTATTTTGTTACTCTGGAATTACACTGAGACAAGCTCAGGCCTACAAGGTACAGTTTACCGATTGACGTAGAAAGAAGATAGCTTTCTGGCATCATGGTGGAAGAGTGGTAGCTTTTTCGTAATTCCACTAAAGTGCCTATTGAAACTTTTATCATTTAAGTGGTAAAGAGTCTGATGTTACGGTGTTACAAAACTGAATGGTAAATTGGACATGAACTTTAAGACAAGAAGCAATAGCAACACGCTGACTTCTTTTAGAACAAAAATGGACACAACTTCCTAGAGTATATCTAAAGACTAAAACTAAGGAGTGGGGATGGGAGGGGGAAAGGTGGGTGTTCATTGTGTTTGGGGTTCACGGGTTTTGTTTTGTTTTGAAGAAAACAGTACATTGAGGCATCATATTTCTTCTTCCAAAACTTCACAGAGAATTTAAATTTAAAATGCTATTGCACTCCGAAGTTGTAAAGCCAAAATTAAAAAGGAAAAGATCTTAGCATACATCAATGAATATTTAAATGTTCATGAAAATATTACATTTTTTTTCAGAATAATAAAAGATGAAAGCAGCTACTCCTTTATGCGAAGGAAATTTCCCTTGGCTTTCCCTCTTCTTTTAAAATGAGACTATTATTAGAACAGAAAATGGGGAGTTTTATTTCTTTAAGAGTATTGTTGTATTTTTAGTACCAAGACATTTTTTTCCTTGTAATTATCACTAAAGAAGCATTTGTAAAGAACTCCACATCACTTTTCTTTGCAATTAGATTGTTCTGTATGTACCGTAGGCATACATATTCTATACATATTATAGAGGTAGTTATTTTATAACTCACCATTTGCTACAGTTCACCGTATCGTATTTTGGCACTGTATTAAGGCACTATGCCATGGAAGAGCTATTATAAAACTATTTCATGTGGCCTTTTCTGATGATCTAAGGCATACACATTTTGTAAGGTTTATAGGCCTTGACGTGTGAATATACTTAATTCTCCTTCTAAAATCTACACAGTGCTATACAATCTGTTGAGCTCTATTTCTGATTAACAGCACTGGCAAGGTCAACCTAAGTCTTTCATGAATAAGACATCTTCCATTCACCTCAGGTCTGCAGCTTATTTTTTGTACCACTGTACCATTAATTTTGTACAATTTTGTACCATTATTAGCTACCAGATATCATTTGCTCACAAGCCTGATTAACACACCCAAAGTTCCCTTTACTCTCATGGAAATGTAAGGGTATTTCGAATGTGTGTAAATGACACTCCCAATAAGATTTTAAAAGACATATAGCTTAAATAAGATTAGGATCATTTGGTGCAATTGGACAAGGCTCCACTGAAGTCAGTTGACATAGCTCATACTAGCAGAGTGCTGAGGAAGAGACACTGTATGTGGTAATGAGAAATGTTTTTTGTTGGTGTTGGTTTTTGTTTGTTTGTTTGTTTTGTTTTCGTTATTTGCAAAGGTATTTTATGTTTCTTGAAAGACAAATTAAGGCAACAAAAGCTCTCTCTCACATGACAGGGAAGAAAATTGATTAGAAAGGGCCATTGCGTAACAATTTTGACATTGAAGGTGGTGTTTTTAAATGTTGTGCTTCTTACAGTATAGAAAGGGCAACTTGATACTGTAGAGTAGAGCTCTGAGAAAAATAAATAAATTATATATATATATATTTGCTACTAGTTACAACACAGGTTTGATTCATGAAAACTTCACTCTTTTGGAGGTACTTTGCAATGCTTCCTCATGTGGCATATGCATTATAATATGTCCTCCCCTGCTGCCACAGCTAAAACAAGGATCTGACACCGCTCATTTACGGACATGCAATCCTGGGGTCAATGTCTGCTTTTTGTAACTGTATTGGTCCTTAACAATTATTTACACTAGTAAAGTCAACATAAGCAAGAACAGAGTTTGGCTTTCTGACATCACATAGCAGGCTTGCTCCTGAGAAAGTTGCAATTCTAGCAGCTACTGGGTGAATATTAAGACTCTCAAACAGGCTGGTATTTGCTCATAGCAGGACAGTCTGTATGGAAACCTGACACACAATATGAGTACACAGAAAATGTGATCTTAATTGTGCTATCACACACAATTCAGATACAACAGTGAGTTGTTATATGCTAAATAAATAATTAATTGTATATTAAATGCCTATTTTTTGACATTAATGAGCTTTGTAATTGCGATGTTCCTATCACATAATTAATAAACCTCCAGGAAGATTAAAAAAAATAAGTATATAATACAATTATCCTATAAAATCTTAATTAAAATCTAAGACCTCTCTTTAAGGAGTAATCAAACAATTTTGACTTAATGGGGGTATTTTTTGTAAACAGCTCTGTAGAACTAAGGAAAGTGAGTGCTTTACATTTACACATAATCTGGGATCCAAGTAATTTGTGTTTAATTCCACTTTCTGTCACTGTCTTTCTAAAGATGCCTGTCAGGTTTTAAGAACTTATTTTTTTAAAACGGGAATTGGACAAATATGAAGTTTACAAGATTTAAAATATATCAAGGCATCTAAGATGACACAAAGTCAATGGGATTAAGGAATCCCAGTACATTTGTAAATTCTATCAAATAAGTACTTCTGCTTATAAGCACCATATTTTTGAAAAATCCCCACAAAGATCTGCACAATCTAGATCTTACAGTGGATGTCTGTCTGTCTGGACTGTGGAAAAAAGCCATAAACCTCCACATTGTATGAGTGACAGGAAGCTACATATGATATCGCTTAAAGGGCACTAAAGTGGTAGAATCAAGAGAAGTACTTTTCATTTAAATTTCCGAAGTTAATATAATGGTGCACAAACATCTGACATCATCTTAAATGTCTTAACAGTGCCCCTCCAAAACACAAAACATTCTGTAAAATGCCTTCAGCCTGTGAAGGCTTTGAGACGCTGCACTGGCAGAGACAAATCCATGATTTAGGTTAAACCATTATGGTATGATTAGCACTGCTGAAATACGTGTCTAATTGGAAAGCATTCAGCTAAGAAGACAAGTATTAGAGAAATCCAGATGATAAGCTTACAGTGCAGACACACAGAACTGAAGACAAATTTATAACTGAACCTCTGAAAGGAATTTCAGGGAAGAAAGCAAATGTCTTCTGTGCCCTCCCAAGAGACACCTCTTGGTGCTACTACTGCTATTTCAGTAGCAGCTACTGAAAATGCTGCTACTTAGAAAAGTTCAGAAAATTTCACTGTGTGATCAGAACATAAAAGAATTCCAAAAATTGGATTTAAGAGTGCTACATCTCAAATCTGAAGATGCTGTTATTCTTGAAATGCAGATTTGCAATATAGTCAGTGAATCAGATAGAAAAGACTTGGAAAGCAATGTGGCACAAAGATCTGTTTGAATAATTTATAATTCTCTGATTTTAACTTTTATTTTATAAATTTGCTCTAAATTTTGCTGTTCAGAAATAAAATCATAGTTACTGAAGATTGACTTATGAAAGCAGAGTTCATTATGGAGCAAAGGGCAATAAACAACCCAACGGATTACTGAAAATGTTATTCTAGACACCACGTTGCAAATGTTTTTACCTTAATATGTTCTTATACTGATAAACACAACTGATGATCTTTCACAGTACTGAAAACTAAAGTTTGTAAAACTGCATTGCTGTGAAAGACCTTTACTAAGTGAATACAAAATGAAAATATATTAATACTCTGGGTTACTGGCATTTTGTATGACACTAGTGCCCAGGAATTCCAGTGGGCAGCAAGTTGACCATGAGCCAAAAATGTGCCCCTGTGGCAATGAAGGCTAGCAGCAGCACGGGCTGTATTAGGAAGTGTTGCCAGCAGGCCAAGGAAGATGATCCTTGCTGTCTGTGCTGCCCTGGTGAGGCCACATCTGGAGTGCTGGGTACATGCCTGGGTTTCTCCATACAAAGCAGACATGGACTTTCTGGAGCAAATCCAGCAAAGGGCCACAAAGACCACTAAGGGATTGAAGCATCTGACTGACATACAAGGAGGTACTGCGAGCTGCAACTGTAGAGCCGGTGAGAGAAGGCTCAAGGGGATCTTATACCAATGTACATAAATACCTGATGGATGGAAGTACAGAAGAGGGAGCCTGAGTCTTCTCAGTAGCCCAGTGACAGGACAAGAGGCAATGCGGTATAACTTGAAATACAGGAAATTCCATTAAAACATAAGTAAAAGAAGTCTTTTTTTTTACGGTCACAATGGCCAAGCACTGGATCATGTTTCCCATAGAAGTTCTGTTTATCCATCTTTGGAGATATTCAAAACCCAGCTGAATACAGTCTTTCTTTACATGGCCCTGCTCCAAGCAGGGAGGTTGGACTAGTTAATTTCCAGAGGTTCTAGCCTCAGCTTTTCCATGATTCTGTGACTTGTGCTAAAAACTCTCCTGTGTATGTAGGTTCTAAACCTCCAGTCAGGTCAATGGGATCCTAACTATGTATGCACAGTAACTAGGATTTGTTTTAGAGACCGTTGAAGTAGGATTAGGGGAATACTGTAGCAATCTTTTAAATTGCTTGAAATGTGGAGAGACTGGAAAGGGATGAATTGTTTACTGTCCTTTCCAGTAGAAGAACTAAGGGGCATCACATGATACTAGAAATTAGTATGAAAATAAACTGTGGTGGTTCTTCACACAATGAGTAGGAAAGGTAGTCATGGATGCTCAGAATTTATAGGTTGAAAAAGAGACTGGACAAATTCCCGAAAAACAAATCATTTGTATGTTGCTTAATACAGAGCAATCACATTTAGCTCAGGAAATTCCTGATTAACATTTGGGGGAGTCATACAACCTGGTCTGTTCCTACACACTTTGCTAGGATATCAGCTTATGGCCACTGCTAGCTAAAGATACTAACCCAGTTTGATCAATATTACTTTCTTATTACTACAAAAAATTACTGTCAATTTAATTGATCCTCAAATCACCATGCCATCAGTTCTAATTTACTAAATTGCATAGATAAAGCCAGTTCCTTTTTCATTACATATTATACATTCAAATTTTATGATTTCCATCAGATTTTACCTGTTGTAATTGCTTTATTTACTTCAGTTCTGTCTACTTTTATATTGTAGTGATGCACTTTTGTCTTTAACATGGACACTATACTGATTACTAACAGTGACAATGACTCAGTTTGGGTTGGTCTGTATTAAAAATACATATATTACTTTATTACTGGGTAAAGTTCCCTCTATAGTACATGTCATATTTGGCATGCCTTTCACTTCCTTAGCTGTCCTTTAGGTTACTAAAGATTACTTTCCTATGTCCTGCAAACACATGAAGGAGAAAGGGAATGTAATGACTACCTGGCTAGATGAGTGACTGTGTTAGTCCAGTATTCAGGTGTGCAATTTACTACTCTCCTGACATGTGTTGTGCTCTTAGACATGATTTATTGTTCTCATATGTTGAATACTGTACATTTACTAGTCAAAAGCATGCTTTTCTATTATATGCCTCTGTCAAGAAGCATAAACTAAGCCCTTTCTTTCTTTGAAGCTATCAGGATGTGGGGAGGAAATAGCATCATAGTAGGTGAGAACAAAAATAAATATGCCTTAACAGAATATCTTATATTATTTGGCAACATTTCTCCAGTAAATAATTAAGTTTTTATTTGTATTTGGAGCTTATTTTTTCTCAGTAGTTAATGAACTCAGGCAATACACTCAATATTATTCAGAATACTTCTGCCAGCTTCAACCCCTGCTGCTTTAGCTGCTCCAGGTTACTTTGAAGTTTGATCTTTATACCCCCATGTGTTTATTACTCTGCTAGTTCTGGTCTAGCTGCGTATCTGATTACAGCTGAACTTTCATGGTAGAAACATCAGACCAAGAAATACAAGACTCAACTGTACAGGCACAGAATTCTAGGTTGGGTTGATAAGAGATTTTTCAGAATGAATGAACATCAGCTTAATGTTCAGCAAACTGACATCAGCAGAAATCATACTGTGAATTTCATATTTAAGTTATAAGTACTAATCAAAATATTAAAACCTGTAGCATGTTTTCTACAATTCTACAGTACGTAACACACACCAGCTTTCTGCTAAGGCAAGCAGATGCAGAGAGAGAGAGAGACCATGGAGCTGTTATCTCCTCTTTTTTTTTTTCTTTTTCTTTTTTCTATTTGTATTTTCCTATTTGTGTATTCCTTTGCACATACATTAAAAAAACAAACAAACAAACAAACAAAGTAATATTTTGTAGCTTAATTTTATTTCTTAGTCTTAAAATATGACAAATATATTCCATGAAAATAGGGGAGATTTGGCAATGGCAAATGGAATAAATAGAAATACTTCAGATGGAGTACAGCAAGATATCATGTCTCAGTTCTTAAAAGTAGAAATTTGAGGATGAAAATTCAGTTAGTCTTTTTTCAAGTTCAATGAATTTACCTTAGCAATGAATGATCTTAGTAATCCTGTGCCACAGTTGGTAAATGCTTTATTTTACTTTCTAGGACTGATTTTTATTATTGTAATTACAATTACTTGAATTAAGTTATTCCAGATCACATACTTTAGTTGTCATGCTTGGCCTAGATGATGTGACTGAAAGCACTTAACGTCATATGCAGTCCAGAGAGCATGGTAGGTAAATACAAAAAGTGATTTAATGGAACTATCTTCTGACCAGGGGTTTTCAATGACAGATATTGAGGACAGGGATTTGTCTGAATTGTTGGCTATCCTGGAAGACAGCACGTTGCAGCCCAAGCTGACAGTACTCTCTTGATGGTTATGGAGAAAGGAAAGTCCTGGCAAGGTTCAGATTTGATGAACTAGCACATTAATTTGACTTCTCCTTGAGGAAATTGCTTTAGAAAACTTTTGTCATAAGCAGAATTAAAGCACCATTTTGAAATCTACACAGTAGAGGAAACTTAAGTATCCACGAAAAGCTAAATGGGACTGTTCTTCCCATTGAAATGGTCTATAAATGAATATAGTGCAGAATAGTCTCACTAGAAATAGCACACCACTTCTGATCTGTAATTCAGAGACTGTTCATGCATTTGCACTAGTCCTTAACAGAATAACATTGAAACACATAGTTTAAAAAAAAAATAGAAAAAAAAAAAAAGAAGAAAAAAATAAGTTGGGAGCCCTGACATGTTTCTCTGTGTTGTTAAAAGTTTCTGAGCTGAACCAGTCTCTACCATGTTTGCTACTTTCCTTGGATTCAGGAATTCAGAAATCTGCCTTCTTTTCTGCATATGACAGAGCCTCCATGGCGGGTTGTCCCCAGTGAGTGGCTAAGCATCACTCAGTCTCCAGCTACATGGTTATGGAGGACAGAATAGGAAGAGCAAAAGTCAAAAAAAGTCCTGGGTCAAGATAAGACAGTTTAATAAGTGAAGGAAAAAGGAAGAAAAAAAATATATATATATATTTATATATATAAAAAAAACACCACCACCACCAAATGATACATTCGTCACCTCCTACAAGTAGACCAATGCCCAGCCAGTCTCGAAGTAATGGCTAGCTACCCAAAAAAGCTTTTCCCCCCACTTCACCCCCCCACCCCACCCAGTTTTATTTCTGAGCACAATGTCATACGGTATGGAATACCTCTTTGGTCAGTTGGGGGCAGCTGGGTGGCATTCCCAGACTACTCACTGCAAGGGCAGAGCAGGAAACAGAAAGTTTTGATGCAGTGCAAGCCCGGTTTAGCATTCTGCAGAACACTGTTGTATAATAAACACTGATTTGGTCACAGATCCAAAACACAGCAACATCACAGCCAGACACAACATAGCCTCCCCAGGGTGCAACGAAGAAGTAATCTCAAACCTTCCCACTGATATCTACAGGTTGCCACAGCTGATTTATGCATAATTTAGGCTGCACTCGGAGAAGTACTCTTCTTCCCAATACAGTGTGACAGATTCTTGGTCTCTACATTGTCCATAGGTTTTCTTTACTTAACCAAGAGATTTTTTCTATGTAAAATTTTCTGATAAAATAGAAAGGCAGCAGCAGAACAAAGCAGGATTTAGTGTAATGCTGAAAATCCTCTTTCACTCCATGCCTCTTCCAGTTTACCTTTGCCTAACTTTCTCAGCCTGGGCAATGCTCAGTAACACATCCTGCTACAAGTTAGACAGAAATCATCCTTTTCCTAAATTGCCAATGGCAATCTCATGTTTAATAGGCCTACAGTATCACACAGGCTGCTAAAGTCACTTGCTGGAATCAACCAAAACAAATGAAAAAAATAACCCTACTAAATGACAGGAAACTCTCTTCCTCCTATGCAATAGCAGAGCAGTTAAAGCATGCACAAAAAATTTAAGAGCCCCACTTTGCTACCCTCCAAAAGTTAAAGCAAAGCAAATAAGACCTTGTATCTCCCAAGATGATATTGAGACCACTTAAGTGTTCTTCACACCACCTGCTGAAGCTATACCAAAAAAAAAAAAGTATAAAAGAACAATCATTTTTAAAAATACACAAAGTAAGCAGTTCCCTCCTGCAATGATCAGACACTAAGAGATGGAGACGGAAATTTCAGAAAAACAAACAAACAAACAAACAACTTTATGACAAATCCATGGCAAAAGAGTGAGCATTTTTTTGATTTAGGTATTGGAACACATTCCGCAAATGTGACAGGACATATGGGTGTGCTAGCTTACTACTTAATATTACAAAGATACAAATATTTTTGAACAATAGAGCATAGTATTTTTTTCCCAATTATATCATTTTATCACATGATAAAACTCTCTTTTACCACATGATAAAGTGCGCAGGAACAGTAGGAATACACTTTCAACAGGAAATATGTTTAAAAAAAAACAACACATGAATCTACTCAAACATGGCTATAAAGCATTTCAGTAAGTTTTAGTATGACGCACATGACAAACAAAAGTGAAGAGAAGCCACCGAAATCAGAGCAGTACAGCATCTGAAACCTTTTTTTTTTTTTTAAATCAGTCAACATATTTAAAGTTAAATTCCATGATAAACAGAAAAATATAAGATTTTTTTTTAAGATCCTGCCTAACTTGACAATACATTCTCTTTTTCTAATGCCAGTTTTCTTAAAAAAAAAATGCCAGTTTTCTTAAATAAAACGTAGCTTTTCTTCTTTTTGCAGTCAGGCTGGTACATTTAGGAATAGGAAATTTAGGAAATAAATTTACTCATCTAGATCTGATGGTGTCTTATTTCTCTTACAATTTTTGTATTTATATTGTTTTGTTGATTTTTCCCCCAGTCAGTCATCATAAAGTTATAAAAAAACAACAACAACAACAACAATGTATTCAATCAAATTCTGTAACATTTTAATTCTAAGTTAAGTTTTAAAATGAAATGTTGAACATTTTTAGCTAATACTGAAAACTGGCTGAAGTATTTATTTTTTTTAATGATTTTTTATTTTTTACTGAGCAATATCTTTCAATACACTGATTTCTAAACATCTCAAGGAATGTAAGGAAATTATTTTATCATTACTCTACTATTTTGTTTAGGATTAATCATTCCAGTATAAAGACTTGGAATGAGATTGCTTTGTTTGCTAAGAGGGTGCAAAATCAACCATTCAGTGGTGGAGACGGACTCTGTCCAAAGTGTAGCTATGCTGCTCTGTGAAAATGTGGTGAAAGAAGGAATAAGAAGGAATTTGTTAAGGCTCCAAAGCCCTTGCTGGTTTAAAGCCTCTGTTAGCACCACAAAGAAACCTATCACCATTTATTTTCACACAAGCCAGGCACAACACCTCTTACGGCCTACAACATGCAGCTAGCTAAGCCAACATAACTGACTGAAAAATCGTCATACAGCTAAGAAATTATGATAATGCCACGCAAATGGGTTGGAAAATAAACACAAATATCAGACTACAGCTAGTTTCACTCTCAAGACCTCCGGTCTAAAATAATTTGAACTTTTATAGAAAATCTGCCACTGGATAACTTAGGTACCAAAGTTTCTTTCAATTTTTGGGAAGTGATATGTCATCATTCCCAAAGGAAATGTCCACTAATATACTGAATTGCTATTATATTATTCCGTTCTGAAGCATGCATGAGATTACTCATGTGCTGGTACTCTTGATCTCTTAAGGGATCTGTCCTGGATATAGACTCTACAACAACTAATTTCTTGTCTGTCCTCTAACTCACATTTTTGCAACAGTCTGTTAAATTACCCAGAATAGATCTGCAATCATTACAAATCTTGATGCACATTCAATATGCATTGTTTATGATTATATATACTAACAGTTTTGTAGTGTAGGATGTACATGGTAGCACCCACAGCCACTGAGATTTTCTTTTGCTGTACATGTATCAGGCATGCTCTAGTCCTTACCTTCCCCTCTTGCTTGAATAAGGCTCAACAAAAGGGGAAGAATATTTGCAGCTATTTCATTTGTTCTGAGAAATAAATGAAGATGGCTTTGTTAGAGGGAAGAAAGGCAAGCAGAACACGAATATACACACAGACTATGCATCTCAAAAAACACTATCTACTGATCAGCAATCTATCTTTTGTCTTTGACAGAGGTCACATCTATTTTAAAGATGAAATATACAAGATACTATGTAGCAGAGGATACTGAATTGATGATTGTGCTGGGTCTGGCTAGGATGGAGTTAACTTTCCTCACTGCAGCCTGTATAGTGCTGTGCTCTGCACTTGTAGCTAGAACAGCATTGGTTGTTCTGTGTGGTGTCTATTGCTGGCACAGCACCAACTAGCACAGGACAAAAAAAAAAAAACAACAAAAAAAAACCACTGATAACTGCTTGAAAGACTGAGAATTTTGATTATTATTCTGATTAATGTGGGTTGGGAGTTAATGGGTAGGGCAAGTGGACTATGGAAGAGAGATGTCTAACATTTGTGTCTACATATTCTATTTGAGCATCAGTGTTACAGTCACTTGGTAAAAAGTTTATATTAGTATTAATAAGAAAAATATAAGGAACGATGCACAACTTCTCATCTCTACCAGGATAACAACATAAGACTAAGAAAACGACCACCATGATCAGCTTCTTGCTTTAAGAGGTATACATGTATGGCCAAATTACACTCCTTGAAAAGCTCACATTCTGCTGATACAAATATTGCATGGCTCAGGCAATGTTCATATTTGTCAGCAATCTGGTTTCAGAAAATGGCATTATACTGATTGATGACTACCAAGCGAAGAAGTACAAAGCATGGGAATTTCATCAGCTTTCTCAAAATGACTGCATAATGCATGATAGACATATCAATCTATACAGCTTCCAAATTGCAGTATTTTAAACAACAAAAAAATATTTTGTTTTTAAACAACAAAACCTTTAGGTTCCAGAGGAACTTAACTTTAAATTTTGATGCATTTTTTGGCTCACTTCACTGTGTTTTGTTGTGAAATTTTCCAGTATAGTAAAAGACAAGAGGTCTGCTGGTCATTCATATCTATTTCTCTAAATTTTATTAATTTACATTTCTTTTTAAGTTTATCCCCTGACAAGTGTGAATACTACAAAGTAATTATATAGAAACCTGAAATGTATATTCTTTTCATTTAAGACAAATTTGTACTGAAAAGACATTGTACAGCTGGGGGGTGGGGGGTTCTCTGGTGTCACTTTGCATAAAAATCCCATTTGTAGAATGTACAGAGAATTGAAACGTAATAATGATGACTGCAGTGTCTGGATGCTTTGTAATTATTGTAACAGAAAAAAATGTGAGAACGTAAACAGCATAGCATACTACTCAAAAGAAGAAACGCTACTAAGCAGCAGTGCAGTTCTCCATGCTTTGCACTTTAGGACCAAAGGATAAAAGTTTTTTGTTTGTTTGTTTATTTGTTGTTTTTTGTTTTTTTTTTCTTATGCCATGATTCAATTCCTCTCAGCCACAGTGCGAAGAAAGTACAGATCTAAAGGATCTACTGGTCTGTTTGGGGATCAGAAGATAATGTTGGAAATACCTGTTGAAAGCCAATTAACCTTCCTCATTGCGAGAGAGTGCAATCAAGTATGTACTGTCATTGCTTTGTCTGGTCATTTCTAAAAGACTGCAGTGGCAGAACTTCCACCATCCTGACATGGCACTCCTAAAACATAGCTGCGAAAGGAAGAAACAAAGTGGAATAACTATAATAATAATAACAATTAAAACAAAACAAAGCAAACCACCACTGACCTGTTCAGTTGTTGCAATGGCTCATGCGGCCCTCTTACAGCTTGAGTCTTTGCTGCCCTCACGTGGCTGGTAGATTCAGGGTTCCTCTCGAGCAGAAGGTCTTGGTTTGTTCAAGCAACGAACCAGTACACTTTTGCGACAGTACATTCACATTTGCAGTATCTCGTGGGATTCAGTTGCAACAGGTACTCCTTAATAAGCAGACAATAGCAGGTAATATTAGGGATTGCTATTTGACCTACTAGTTCATTCTGTTTTCTAAGGTGAATATTTACCTGACATAGTATGCATGCCTGCTCATTTTTTCATGCATTTTCATCAAAAAGATAATCTTGGATCTTGCCAGTTAATCCTAAAGTAGCAGTTTAATTTCTACTAGCAGATTTCCTTATGCATATTAAGAAATAGATCCCAAAATGGCAATTTAACTGCAAATATTTAAAAAAATCTTTTAATAGATTGCAGACACAAAGGCTGAAATCCACGCTACCTTACTCTCAACAGTGAAATTCCCATGAACTCCAGAAGGGTCAAGATGTCATTTTAATTCAGACTGAAATTAAAAAAAAAAAAAAAAGACAGAAATACAACCAGTGCTAAACTCCATATAAGAATAATTTCTAAAACTGTTCACTCTTCAACCCACTCATATTTCCCATTAATTACTTGCTATATAATCTGCAACAACAATCCACTGACTCACACCAGCTATTGCCTCCATTTCTCTCAACAAATCAAAGGTTTGCCAGCATTTGTTCTTGCTGTAGGCAGTCATGTAATTACTTGTCTTGAGCTTTTAAAATACTGTTATGAAAAAGGATAATTATTCAAAAAATATGCATATATTTTAAAAAGCTTTTTGGGGTTTGTTCTAGTTGCATAATCAATAGTCATATACTAGCATCAGAGATAATGGTGCTCTTTATAATGAAGTCACTTCAGCCTGCTCAAAACTCGACAGAAACAAGAATATAATGGCCTGGCAATCAAATACCAGCTAATGAGAAATCAACAGGCTCTGAACCTTTTCAGAATTATCAGAGACTGTGAAGTGAGACTTGAATCCCACCAAAGCAGCACCGTATGATGCATATTAACACCGTGGAGGGCTCTGTGCGCTTCTCGAACATAAATTACTAGCAAGTACCTGACAATGGCTCTCCACAGTTCCTGTATTTAGTATAATGCTTCTCTTGCTAAGTGCTCATGACTATATTAAAAGCAATGGACTGAATTCAACTATGACAAAAGTGCTGATCGTTCCAAGTCAGTAAGAGTTATGACTGCTTATTTATGAGCTGAATTTAAATGTATGATTGTCAGGGAGGTCTTGACAAGGAAGAAATTTCTTCATGACAGCAAAAGAATTCCCTTTACCACTGCAGGAAACATAGTGGGAGTACTGCAAGACTGCTGTACATCACAGAACAGAGTTACACACCATCATACAGAACTGCGGGGTTTCATAACTTGTCTGTAGCTCTGATTTCTTGTTAGGGTAAAGCTTATTGCTTACAGTGGGACCAGTCTCTTCTAAGAGTCCTATGCAGTTGCACACAAAAATGAAGCAGACAAGAAGCACATCAACTTTCAACAGCAGTCCTGCTGCACTTGGATCTCAATAGGGCAGGAATTAGGCAGCTCGAGGGATCCAGAAGTTTCTGGTATCGCTAGGTACATATTCATTTTTGGAAATACTGTACACTATAAGGGTTTTGGAATAGTTGCTCCCCCCCTTTTTTTCTTCATAAAATGAAATCACACATTCAAATATTTGTCACAGAACAGAAATTTTAAGCTTTAGCTAGCACTTCTTTATGCCAGACCTGCTTTTCAAAATGTTGAGAGAACCACCTCTGACATCAGCTTAATCTAATAACAATGCACAGACGTATTTTTAGGTTCATAAAGTTTTCACAAAACATGATTTATTGTTACTTAATGATAGAAAATACAACTGTTTATATTGTATTTTGATTCATGTATCTGATTTCTTTTTCCTTTCCTTTCCTTTCCTTTCCTTTCCTTTCCTTTCCTTTCCTTTCCTTTCCTTTCCTTTCCTTTCCTTTCCTTTCCTTTCCTTTCCTTCCTTTCCTTTCCTTTCCTTTCCTTTCCTTTCCTTCCTTTCCTTTCCTTTCCTTTCCTTTCCTTTCCTTTCCTTTCCTTTCCTTTCCTTTCCTTTCCTTTCCTTTTTCCTTTCCATCAAACACAGAGTTTTAATGTAAAGAGCACTTTGAGTTAGAACAGATTTTCTTTTCAGACATAAAGAACACAGACTTTCAGTTATATACCATAATGTGATGGATGAATTTCCTCTGTAATATTTCAATATGAGTAGAATTAGGTTTCCAGAGTTATGTTAGGAGTCCTAAGAGAAAATTTTACTCATTTGGAAAAGAGCAAAGTATTTTCTTATATAGGAAAGAAAAAAAAAAAAAAAAGAGGAATAGAGTACCTTACCTCTAAGAGAGATCCTTGGATCCACAAATCCAAGGCAGCACCCATCTCCCTACACTTTTTTTTTTTTTTTTTTTGCCACAGTTTTGTCAAGTATATTTTATAAAATTAAGTGAATCAATATGTGAAAACATTTTAAATGTCTTTCATCGTTATTTTGACATACTGAAATAATTACATTTATTGAGTGCTATAAAATGGATATAGACTCTTAAAAATCTGTTTGTTCTTTAGTATGGTTATGCACGGAAACTGAATTCCATTGTAATATTCACATTTCTTCTGTGGGAATTAACAAATTACAAGAGAAATAATCAGAATATTTCCATTATTAATATTGCTAATATATAATATTTTAATAAAAAGCAGATTTATATCATTTAGCTTGCACCTTAAACTTTGTATTTTATAAAAACTAATCTCAAACAGCAATGTGACCCTGCAGAATAGTTTATCACTGTTGCTTTACAAGCAACAAAGAAAATATGTCCTGTGATATTGAATAAAAGCAAGAAGTTGCTTTTAATAATGCCGACAACAATTTTCTAAATTAATGACAAACACAGTGAAACTATTTCACTTATCTTTTCCACAAACACATGGGTGAAATGAGAGGGACTGAAGCTTTCTGTAGTTTTGATGCATACAGAGGTTTTACTTGGAATCTTATGAATCAGAAAAATGTACACAGTATTTGGATCCCACTGTCAGGAGGATGTTTAGATATATGTTTTGTGTTCCTATCTGAAGAGTTACAAAAATCAGGATTTTGAGATGATTTACCACAGCTAGCAGGTGAATGTTCAATTAATTATGGAATAAAATATAAATCCTTTCTCATATTGATGAGCAATGACAGGTGCTGTCAAAGCAGAGCAAATGTATTTTTTGCCTTTAAAGGATGATTTTGTAGACCTATCAGTTTCTAAAGACATTTTGTGACAAAGTTTCATCAATGATTATGTTACGGATGCAATTTAAATTTTACCTGTGGTCTTCCAAAGATCCTTAGCACTATACTTTGTCTTCACTATCTTTAACTCTCAGAAATAACTGCTTGCTTGTTTGCTTGATTTTAATAACTCAGAATACATTTTTGTCCAGAATTTCATTGATCTCAATTACTTATTTAGGTGGTTTTCTTAACTTACTTAATTCTCATTCAAATCATATAATTGTCAAGTAAGCAAAAGACTTAACTAGTTCATTCCTGTCTTTTTAAGGTGTTCCTTTTTCAGTTCTGTGCTATCCACCAGGAACACAGGTAAATAAACAATTGCAAAAACATCTCAATAGAACACAAACACCACACTATGAGACATAACCTATTTCCATAAAAGTTCCTGAAAAACCTTAGCAGGTGCATATACACTTGTTCCACATTTGTGGAGTTCAATCACACAGTCCTAAAGGTTACTTACTGTGTTACACCATTTCTATACTAGATACTTAAACAAAATTTATTCTCTGGATCCCTCACTTGGCAAAAGTAACTGTAAAATACGTAGGTCATGAAAACTAGAGTGGTAAATCCTGTACCTTGCCCTAGGGTTTTTACTGCTGTGAAAGAAAGAAGGATCTAGATTAAGTTTCTATGCATTTTAGAAGGATCTAGACTAACTAAGTTTCTATGCATTTAAAAATAATCTAAAAATCCACAATTGTTATTAAATGGTTGTTGTAAACAAATCACACTGAGATGGCATCAGCTGTCTATATGGGATTTTGCAAATGTATGTGAACTTGTTTTGACTCATTTATGGATTTAAGCTTAAAAATGCTGTCTAAAAATTTAACTGGAAACCAATGGAAAATCGATACAAGTAACAGTGCACAAGTTTTATGTGCTTTCTAAAAGGAACTCAACTTACCAAGCTGGTTTATTATTCTTCAGCTCTGATTTCCAGCTGGGTTGTCTTATGTAGTTTTTCGTAGTATGTATCAATAGCCTGCAGTGACAAAGGCAGGGATGGCTGTTCCTGGTCCCCAGTACTGTAATAGTATCTGTAAATAATGACTTGTAAGAACAAAGAAGAAGAAAAAGCTTTTGCAAAACTTTCATTTTTACTTCATTTTGTAAAGTGTTTTCACATATGAATTTGGTGCAAATCAATAATCAGTTCAACTCTCCAAGCCAAAATCATGTTGTTAAAGGCAGGAATTCATCCATACTGAACTGCATCCTGTTATGAATGGATGACCAACACCAGACCAAAATAAGCTTTCTCACACTCACCAAACTTAACTGCTTTCCATTTCCCCTATGATAATGCGTTGGGCCATGAAGCAATATGTGCTACTGCATTTTAGAAGTCTCACTGGCTGCTGTAAGACTACATACGATGAACTGACATTGACTGGTTATGTACAGGGAAGACAGCTTTTGACACATTTTATCATGTTAGAGAATATCTTCTGCTGCCTGCTTCATCATGAAGGACAGGGAACTATAAAGATTAACAGCCTGAATTGGAAGACAGAGATTTTATTTTTATTTTTTATATTTTTTTTGAGCTCTCAAGCAGAAAGTTATGTAAACCAGCTGGAGATATCACCAGTGTACATGCAATTATAAATGAATCTATATCTTCTGCATCAGAAATGAGTGTGTATGAAGAACAAAGAATATTTTATCTGCTGCGACATGGCAGAGACTTAAAAGTGATAATAGAACTGTTATGGATATGTTATAACACTGTATTCATGTACATATTTCTGTTTTTTCCTCTCTTCTTTAACAAGAACAGTTTTATTCCCTACCTCAGAAATTAATGAATCCCTGAGAAAGCTGTTTCTCAGTGAAAAACAAGCATATGCCAGAATGAGTTTCTAAAAGAATGACTTGGAGACCTTAAAAGCATACAAGAGAAACCAGTTTATAAAACAAAAACAAAACAACAGACAAAATCATCACCTAATTACATGTATCACCTTCCCTTTTGACTCTGTGTTCTCAGGATGACTTAGTCTCCTCTACTCTCTGAAACAAGGCAGTGTCTCTGAAACAAGATGCAGCCTCATCTCAGGCCAGCTGTCTTCATTAACTCTCAAAAGAATCTGGAGTGAGTTGGCAACTGGCTTAGTTATCACAGTTCAGCATTTAAAGTTAAGCAGAATAAGTCTAGGTTTTGGGGGCTATTTTTGAAGTTTCAGTTAGGAGATAAAATGCACCACCCAAAAGAAATGCCCAAGTGCCTTCATCTCTTAAAAGTCTCTGTCTAGTTCCCCCACCAGTATAACAGAAATAAATCCATTATTTTGCTTCTCAATTCTGTTTGAATTATTTTTTATTTCCTATTATGAGTCCATACTGCCCACTACCGTAAGTGCTGATCTGCCAGACTTGGTTCTACAGCAGTATCCATGAAAAGCATTTTTCTGATAGTTGTTCAATATCACAGATCTCTCTGAGACTGCTTCCCATTTCAAGCTGAGAAAATAATACCTCCCTACCTAAGAGGAAGAAGAAAAATGTATCAATTTTTAGGTAACAAAACTTTTGATGTGAGTGAGGATATAAAAGAACATGAACACAGGGATAACTGTGCTACTCCTCGGTGCTAGTATACTTTTAAAACATTTTTTCTTTATTTTTCTGGACCAGCAATCCCTATATTTCACTGTGAATTGTAGATTCAATTCTGCAAATACAGAATTAAATTGAACTGAGAACAAGCCTTGCCCAGTTTCAGAAGAATGTTATGGCTGTTTGAATTATTTGTTAGGAATTGTTTAATTACAAATGTACTTTTTCTCTGCTTTTACCACCTGTTCCCATAATTCATATAAACAAGCTCTGCTTTTCTAAAGAACTTCCAGATAATTTTTTTAGACAAAAAACAAAACAAAACAAACAAACAAAAAAACCCCACAAAATTCCTTTTAAAGCCACAGTAATGCTGCTATTTTTAAAAGTACATTTCCTACAACATACACAGACTATATATCTCTGAGAATGCACATATGTATATACACACACAAAAGACACACTACTTGATTTGATGAATCAAGAAAAGAGTATTACACAAATCTTATGGGCTTATTTTGGGCTGGTATAAATTAGTATATAGCTATACCAAAATACATTGTTCTAAAACGAATTTCACAATCTCAGATTTCTTCCTGCTGCCAAAATCTTAAACAGATTTGAAAAAAAAAAAATATATATATATATATTATATATATATTATCCTGAAGAAAGATACAAGGCCACAACTACAAAATGTTCTTCTTACACTGCAGTTACTCAGAGAAGGAGCACTTCAGCTTTTATTACTTCTACAAGAACGAAAAAGAGGGTGTGACCCTGCTTACAGTTTGCATTTCAATTCTCTAAGCTCTTTAATTAGACAATCTTGTCTTCTCTAAGTGTTATCTGAGTCATGTTTGTCTCACTTAAATGCTTAAATCTTTAATAGAGAAACATTAGCAACAGACAAACAGATTGATTCAAAGATCGAAGCCGAAATTCCTTTAAGTGGTATATTCTTTATTGCAGCGCTGGATGCACGGGGGATCTCTCCACCTATCGTGCATACCCAAAGCGGAAAGCAGTCTTGAATTTATACAATCAATCTATCAATATTCTACAAGCGCCTATACATATGCATTACCTATCCCCGCCTTCCCTCGCTTCTCATGCTAATTAGCCTTTTGGCACCTTGCGCCTGCGTAGAGCCTCCCAAGAATTGTGGGCAGGGGCCTTTGGGACGTGGGCAGGGGTCTTTGGGAGGAAGACCCCGAGTCTTCCTCACAGTGTACTTTTCACCTTTGGTCAGGAATCTGCTGAATTGGCACGTTTCTTAATTGCGAGAGCTGGTTGTTGCCAATTCTTCCGTTTGTTGTATCTTTATAATGAATTCCAATGTCCAATTTTGAGATTTATAGTCCTTACATTTGTTTCTCTGTCCGTCTGCCGCTTCCTTATCATGAGTTCCAGTGTCTTGTTTCGAGATATACAGTCCATGTCTGGGGATTGTCCTTGCCTCCCCAATACCTCCCCAATACCTCCTTAATCAAGATAGCAAAACCATGCCTCTGCATTACTGTCATTACCTTCAACATGCTTTTAATATTGTTTATAAATTTAGATGTGAAGGCCAATGGAGTTATAGAATATAAAGTGAAAATGTCTCAAATTTCAAAAACCATTCAGCAGTAGGTCCTTATCTTGGAAGCAGGTCCCGCAGTGTTTGAAAGGAGAAAAAAATAATGCCTATGTGCAAGGTAAACAGTCCTTTCAACTGAGCTGAATGACTATTTGTTAAATATGGATTTTTTTTTCCATGTATTTTACATATAAAGCCATTTATTTGGTTATATTGCAGGGGAGAAGGAGAAAGGATGGGACACTCAAAATAAACTACAATAACTCTGTGAGTCTGAGAAAAAAGGGAGATGGATATTTAATATTTTCCCGTTCTTATCACAAAGTTTTCCTTTGTTGATAGGATTCATTCACTGGAAAATAATCAAACTCTGACAAAATTGGTCAGTCCCTTATCTTTGGTATCTCAAAGCTTTCATGGTACTCTTTTCACATCTTTCTTTATCTTCATATTTGTTCCAGTCTTCTTTCTCCATTCTCATTATTTTATTGCAGTATATTATTGCTATATACTATGTTATATATTATCTTAACATTATACTCTTATCTATAAAAGTGATAAGGGTGATAAAAGTGATACAGTACCTCATTTCTTCTATACCTCTTCTTTAGGTGACTTGGTCTAGTTTCTGTGCCAACTCCCGCAATATTTAGATCCTATACACCAACTATTTCCTCTTCCTTAATCTCACACCTGTACTCTCTTTCTTTGACTGTCATGCTACAGTTCTATGCTGCCAAAAGACGTAGTCCCATAGTCCTTTTTTGGTTTATGTTCAATACCAATAGAATTTTACTAAGAAACTGCCATACACTTTCCAAGAAGTATTGTCTCAATTTTCATCATCCAGCCTTGTACTTGAAAACTTCCTGACATGACATATAGTATTTATGGACAAGTATATTTATAGTGGTTTTAATTATTATTATTTGCAGACAAAGTGAGTACGAATGTTGGCACAACTTTAGATGGATCTGATTGTCACTATGAATATTAAGAAGAAATTCCACAACTAAACTTTTATAAAACTAGACAGACAGTTTAGTAAATATCATCAACTTTTTGCTTTTTAAAAACTTTATCAAAACTAACTCCAACAATCTTCAAAAGGTGCCATGTTCTGTGGAATTGGACATCAATCACCATAGTGAGTTCTTTCAGACACGAAAGAAATAGTCAGGCAAAAGGATTTATAAAAATGTCCAGAGGTGTAGAAACATCTATTACAGCAATGACTCTTTTTATTTATTTATTTATTTGTTTGTTTGTTTGTTTGTTTGTTTTAAATTAGAGGAAGCTATCACATTTAGAATTGTGGGTTGTGTTCTGTTCTTGCACATGCATACGAATTACGTTCTTTTAAAGAATAGTTTGACAGGATTTATTTTATCTTAATTCCATACCTGCATTAACATTCAGAACATTAGAACTGCATCAATTTTTAAGGAGTTATGACTTTTCATTGGTTTCAGAGGTTCATTTCCTTTCCTATTTTGCTAACTGAAAAAGAATGGTTCTATTTTGGGTGCTGTTAATTAAATCAATTCTAATGAACTGTAGTAATCATGTCAAAAATGCAATACTACTTCCAAACACACACAATTCATGTGTGCCTCAACAGGCAGGCCTTGAGAACTGTGCTTTCAGAAAATATTGCCATTTCAGGTCCCTAACTTCCTATAGGCTGCTTCTAAATCCTATCCTGAATTTCACTTTCTGATTTTAGTGACAGCAGGTCTTAAATAAAGCTTCATGTGCTGTAGCTTTTTAACACTGCATTATCATAAGGCAGAACTGTAAATACTAATTTCATTCAGGAAATTCCATCAATGTACCTACCAGTTTGTAAAGTCATGCATACATTTATTAGCCCCCCTCTTTCACGTTTAGATTTATTGTTATATGCACATTGCAGAT